CAATCATGAAGAAAATATTTTTTTCATATAAAAATCTGAAAAAAAAAGAAATCAAGACATATTGATAGTTTTTGACACAAACAAACAAACAAACAAACAAACAAGAAATAGACTAGGGAAATGATGTTAGATAACAAGATATTATACAGAAGATAAAGATATATCTTTATTTTTTTTTTGTTCCATTGTTTGAACAGGTGAAGTTCGACGACGTTCATTATTTCTAAATAAAAACATTTTATTGCATGATGAAATATAAAATAATAATAAAAAGAAAAGAAAAATCAAACATACGATCCAGATGAACTATTTGATGATGAAGAGGACGATGACGATGATGAAGATGATGTACTTGAACTAGATGATTCTCGTTTTAATTTATGTCGAGTTGACATATCCGAATGAGATGTACGATCAATACTACGACGACGATTATCTTAAAATATAATAAGTCATAAATAAATCTTTAAAGAAAATTTTTTTAAATAAATGTACTTCGTTCACGATCATCTTTTCGTCGATCATAATCACGATCTTGACCTAGAATAATATTTATTATAAATAACAATACAATAGATGATCATTACATTCTCTTCTATTATAGATAGAATTTTAATCCGTTATCTTATTGACTATTATTTCTCAATATTATAGATATTCGTCTTTTTCTATACTTCATTAGTAATAAACAATGTATAACTATATTCTTGACATGATTGTACTTGCTAATAAGAAAAGAAGTTATGGTGCACATTAAACAAAACTCTGTAGATAAATCATCGTTAATAACATACTTCTCTATAACCCATAAAAGACAAACTAAATATATATATATATTTCTTTGTACTGATAACTAAAAGAAACATTTTTTGACAGAATGTAGACAGCTTCGCTCTTTTCAATCAATCTGAATAGATAAAAAATTATTATACAGAATAATATTACATTTGAACGCAAACATATATTTCTTATTTCGAAATTGTGATGTTAGATGAGTCAAAATAACGAATGTATATCATATGATAGATAAGAAAAAATCATAAGAATTTTTTATCGTTGACTATCTCAAATTGCTTACTAAATGTAGGAGATAATTTGTCAGTTTTTGAGACAATTTTTTTTTTTTTTACAAAATAATTATTTTCGTCTTCAAATAGAAGACAAACAATGTAGTAGTGATTATTTTTCTTTTTCTTCTACATGTCATCTTTTATAATGATGAAATTTGATAAACTTTTTTTTTTTTCTTTTTCAATGATACATTCTTTTTTGATTAGATAAACTAGTTTCTATTTAACAAAAGATGTTTATTGACAAAAATGTTACAGGTACTTTTTCGAACACTATATATACTACAGCTGAGTTTTTTTGTCTGATCAACAAATTTATATAATTTTCATTGAGCAGAAATATTATATAGAAATCTTTGTAAATTTTTGAAGATAAAGGAGTCTATCTCTAAAGTTATCTAAAACTTAGTAGATATTACTAGAGGTTCGAAGAAACTGACGAGTTTGTCACAAATCAAGTTGTTGGCTTAAAATAAATTTTTTCTAAATTGTTAGTAAAAAAAAAAAAACAACAAACTTGATATCTTAATTAGAACATCTAGGTATCATAATATGTAGTCTAGTATTTTTTGCTGCTCGAAAACAATGATTCTGTTGATTATTTTCACTAGATATGATCATAACTATGAATAGATTATAAACTATACGGTTTACATTTTATTATTCATCTAGTTGTTTCACAACACTTCTGTGCACATATTCTAATCAGTCATTATTATTATTATTATCTTACGTGAATTGTTAACTAATGCTTTTTTTTTCCCTCTAAACTCATATTTTTGTATTATCGTCATATAACAGAATTTGATATGCTCTTGTTAATCAGCTCATCAACATTCATTTAAAACTAGAGTTATTCCTGAATGTTAATATTTTCTTTTTTATCTACTCTCAGCAAGTCTATCATATATTTCTGTCATTGTGATATATATGACCTCTTTAACGTCTTCTAAACAGTGTTGTGTTTATGTTTTTTTATTCCATTAACGTCATCATGTTAATAGATACGAAAAAGAAGAAAAGAACATAGGTCATGGTAGACAAACAGACCTACACAAAATCGAGCTCTTTAAATATGTACTTACAATGGCCTAATGTCTTTTTTGTTTGTGTTCTGTCATATGAAGTATTCTAATCAAGTTTTATTTTATTTTATATGTCATTATGACATGGTAACATCCGGATGTTATTTATATGACTTAGTTGTTTTTGATAGTTAGTTCGTTACAAGTATGTTCTTATATATATTTTTTTTTCTTCTCTTATTTCACAATATATGTTTTAATAGAACAAGTTTGTTACTTTTTTAGTACAAGAAATATTACAAAAACAAACAAAGAAAAAAAACTGTATCATATGTTAATGTGGTTTTTTTTTTGTTTATAAATATAGCTGAAATTTTTGATAATTTATTTATGTCAAGTAAGATTATTTTGCATTGTAAATTTATTGTGTTATATAAAAAGAAATACTAAAAATAACTTATTTCAATTATATAAAAAACATTAGAAGAATTTATGATAAAAATTTTCTAATTAATTTAAAAACATCGTAAGTAATATTATTTTTAATATCGTACAACAACTTTTATGATACGAAAATCATGATATTGAAGTTAGATAACCTATGAAACTTATACTAGATCTTTCGATCAACAATTGCAATGGAAGAAATTAGAGCTTTTGAGATATGTATATATATGATCAGGTGTAAAAGACTCAATAATTCTTTATAAACTTGAAAAATTTACCTCGATGTCTATCATAATGACGATCACGATAAGATGATGGAGGTGAATATCTTCGACGATTTCCACTATGTTGACGATTATAGTCTTCCCGACCACGATATCGATTACTACTAGTTTGTGATGTATAATGTTCACGTCTATGATAATCACGTTCACGACTATGTCGATCACGATCACGATCATGTTCACGATTTGATTCTTTTTCTCGTCGATTATTATTTGATGATGTTTTATCTTGTTGTTTATTAATAGTTTTTTCAGGTATATTAGATATTATTTCTGGAGGATTAATTTTTTCCTTTGATGTTCTATAAAATATATTAATAAAAATTAAAATTTTATTGAAAATAAAAAGAAATAAAACATACATTTCATCTTCATCATCCCATTTCGATTTACTAGCAATTGTTGATATCTGTGGTTCTTCTGGAATGTTAACAAATTGATTTGATGGTTCAAGTTGTACTACACTTGATTGTGCAATCATACGTAATTCTTCTTCAAGACTAGCTTGTTGTGCTGCTTGTTCTATAGATTGTCGTTCATTGAATTCTTCTTCATTTTCCCAACGTTTACGTCGTTTAGTTGATGAAATTGGTGCTACGTTTACATCTTTTTGTTGTTGTAATTGAGAATTATTATTTTTATGTTGATCAACAACTGCTGGTGATGTTGAACGAACACGAGAAGATGATGGTGGAGGTGTTTTTGAACGACGATGACGTGATCGAGAATCTTTAGTTTGATGTTGATCAACCTTTGGCGAGGGTGAACGAACTCTTGGTGGTGAAGTTGGTGAACGATGAGGACGTGATCGAGAATCTTTAGTTTGATGTTGATCAACCTTCGGCGAGGGTGAACGAACTCGAGAAGATGTTGGTGGTGGAGTTGGTGAACGATGAGGACGTGATCGAGAATCTTTAGTTTGATGTTGATCAACTTTTGGTGATATTGAGCGTACTCGTGAAGATGAAGGTGAAGGAGTTTTTGAACGACGAGGACGTGTTCGGGAATTCTTAATTTGACGTTGATCAACTTTTGGCGATGGTGGAGTTGGTGAATGATGAGGACGTGATCGAGATTCCTTTGTTTGCCGTTGATCAATCTTTGGTGATGGTGAACGAACTCGTGAAGATGGTGGTGTTTTTGAACGACGAGGACGTACTCGAGAATCTTTAGCTTGACGTTGATCAATTTTTGGTGATGATGAGCGAACTCTTGAAGATGAAGGTGAAGGAGTCTTTGAACGACGTGGACGTATTCGAGATTCCTTTATTTGACGTTGATCAACTTTTGGTGATGGTGGTGGAGTTTTTGAATGACGACGACGTGATTGAAATTCATTTTTTTCCTGTTGATCAACTATTGGTGATGGTGAACGAATTCGAAAAGATGAAGTTGGAGGAGTTTTTGAATGATGATGATGATGATGTGACGATTGTCGTTGATATGATCGAGAACTTTTTGTTTGATGTCGTTCATTTGTCATTGATGGAGATTGATGACGACGATGTGATGTTAAATCTTTTTTTTCATGTTGTTCATTTATTGGTAATGGTGAATGACGATCTGATGGTGATGAAGTCTTTAAATTAATATTTGATGTATCATTTTCTTTATGTTTAGTACTATTTGATCGATGAATATTTGGACTTGTAGAATTTTCTTGATGTTTATGTTTTGATACTGATTCATTTAAATGATAATCATCATCTTTTCGTTTTTCATGTCGACGTGAATGTCGATCTTCTCTATTATGATCATTTTTTTCATCATCAATATGTTTACGTTTATGATTATTTTCAATATTTTCATTTGTATTTGGTTTACGATATTCATTTATATCCGTAAAACGTTTACGATCTTCAACAGCTAAACGCCAATGTGGTGGTGTACGTGATCTTGAACGACTTTTTCCAGTATATCTCTTTAAATAAAAAGAAAAACAAAACAATTGAAAAGAAGAAAAACAAAACAAAACAAAACATCATCATACCATAAAACCACGACCTTTAACTGGACGACCACTTGAATCAATTTTTTTTGATGCACGATAATTAGTTGTACTAAAGAAAAGAAATATAATTTTTTATAAAGAATAAATGTTTAAGAAATTTTATTTTACCGAGTATTTAATGTTTCATTATTATCATTTAAAGTAGGTCGCATAAGAAATTTATGAGCAGGTATTTCAGGTATTTCATCAGGAGCAATTGTTGTTTTAAGACCCATTATATCACGACCAGATATTTCATTTGATTCTTTAATAATATTATTTGTTGATTCATCAAGTTTATTCTCTTGTTCAATAGAAAGTTTTGCTAAACGTTTTGCTTCTTTCTTTTGTTGATGTTTTTCTTTTTTTTTACGTTTAGATTTTTTTTCCTTTTTATCATCATCATTAGATGATGAACTACTTTCACTAATTTGTTCATTACCACTTTCATCACCTGTTGATATTTTATGTTTCTTTTTTTTATGACTTTCTAAATGAAGAAATATAATTATAGATGTGTTTTTATTTTTTTGTTTCTCATAATAATAATAAATAAACAAAAACTTTGTTTAATTTTACTTGATACAAGTACAAGTTGACCACAATGAGATATTACAACATCTTTTGATGGTCGACTATTACTGGAATCAACTGAAATATTTTCAATTGCATCGACTACCGATTGTCCGGATACAACATGACCAAAAACCACATGTTTACTGAATACAAAAACAAAAAAAAAAAACATTCAGATTCTATCAAAAGCTATCCAGTTTAATGATATGTCTCTTGTTTTTTTTTTATATGAAGAAATACTTTTGTGAAGATCATAATTAATGAAACATATTTTCATAAAGCTCTAGCCGAAGTTCACTAGAAAGCATTATAGTTAGTCAGAGAGTACTAGTCGAAGTCTTCGGAATCCTATCCTACAGAGGCTAATTCGAGATCGTCTTCAACATTGTTGACATATGACTAAAGATCATATATCAATAACTTCTTGTTCTACGATATGTACAACTCTCTTGCTACATGTCCAGAAGATTTAATAAAAGGACAATGAACAACCTGTGTCTCAAAATAGATAGAATACAACAATCCATGCTAAAAAAAAAACGTGTTATTCTTAATTTTGATATTATTACTGATATCTGAATGTTTGCAAAAATTTCTAATAAAACTTTTTCTTGTCCTATTGAATACTCATATGATTTTCAAAAAAATAATTACCCATCGAGATGTGATGCTTCAGATGTTGTACTAAAAAAATATATGAAAAATAATTTATTTTGAATTACATCAAATAAAATTTATTGATTTTCTTACATGAAAAATTGTGATCCATTTGTATTCGGACCTCGATTAGCCATCGAAAGAAGATATGGTCGATCATGTTTGATTTGGAAATTTTCATCTACAACAACAAAAAAAATTTTTTTTTTATTTATTAAAATCTTATTCAAATAATGAAAATAAAAATCTTTACCATTAAATGTACCACCATAAATTGATTCACCACCTGTGCCGTTGCCTGGAATTTAAAGACCAGATAAACACAAAAAAATCGTATATCAATTTATATAAATTCAACACCCGCTTTTGATGCGTGGTGACTAAAAGAGATAAAATAGAATTCAACGAGTATCCCTTTTTATTCTATCTTTTCCCTTTTATTAAAATATAAATTGATGATCAGAAGTGTTGAATGAATAAAATAAATCTTTAATTATATTACCTTCAGTAAAATCTCCCGATTGAATCATAAAATTTTTCACTACTCGATGAAAATAACATCCTTTATAATATAATTTTTTATATAATGTTAAACCACGACCTTTTTCTCCTAAAACAGATTAATTAATTAAATCTTTAAAATAATAATAATAATAATAATAAACAATTATTATACCTGTACATAAACATCGAAAATTTTCACATGTACGCGGACATATATCATTATAAAGTTCAAAGACAATACGACCAGCTAAAGACAACAAAAGATAACAATAAAATCTTAAGATAAAAAACATTTCTTTTGTATATACGATACCATCTTCATCATCAATTTTGATATCAAAAAAACAGCGTAACCTGGATGTCATATCTAAAAATATTAATCTATTGTAATAGATCTAGTAAGGTTAATTTAACATTAATATAATAATATATGTATGATTCAATAATTAATCATAAGAATAATGTATAACATAAAAGACAAAAGACAAAAACAAACAAATAATAAACAACAACGGACTGATCTTTCTTTCTATTTTATCGTGTTTTTTTTCATTCATTGGTAGAAAAAATGAACTAATAATAATAATGTTGTATTTATTGTTTTTTTGTTTTATAGAATAAAAATTTTCTCATTGATTGTAGTGACAATAAAAAAAATTTCAAGCACGAGATAATCATTGTTTTATTTAAATAAACATTCTTAAACATGGGTGCAAATAATTCAAATACGAAATATCATGAAAATATTTGTAATACACCACCAAAAAATAATATTCAACTTTTATTTGATCCTCGATCTCCTAGTGGTAAGAGAATATATTTTAACATTAAAATAAGTTTTAATCGAATCTTCTTTTTTTTTGTTTTATTATTATTATTAAGATGCTATTGCTCGAACACCAATTCAAATCGATAGTCAAGTGCCTGTACAACCTTTAAAATCATATAATCATCTTATACCACGTATTATTGGACGAGATATAAGTATAAATGAAGAAAATAATGAAAATAATCCTAATGAAAAGAAAGTTAATAATGATGAAAATGAATCAAAACATTTAATTGATGTTGAACCAATATTAGATCCAAATAAAAAATTAACTAATTTGGTTACTAACAAAAAAATGAACAATTAAAACCGTATTTAGTATGAGTATTTCTATCTGTATAGATCAAATAGTAGATGTTACATGTGTATATTTATATGTAATTAAACTTATTCTTTCGTTATCTTGTATTAGTTCTTTTTCTATATTAATAATAAAAAACGTCGACTCTTAAGTTAAAAATATATTTTGAAAAAAAACAATTGATTTTGTATTTCAAAGAAGATGTACATATTGTTGAGTTTTTACTATTTGTATATGAAATTATGAAAAAATAATCGATGAAACAACATGATACAGAAAAAAAATAAGAGATGATCGAAAGCTTTTTGGATAAGATGTTTGTGTATTTGGAAATTGCTAGAAGAAATTTTAGACGAGTTACAAGAAGAGTTTTCGATTAGAGAAATGGAGCTTCATCTCATAATGTGCGTCTTTGAATAAGGACTTATATTGAATCAAACTGTAACTTTTACCGAAGTATCGTTTCAAAAATAAGTATTTAGAAAAACAACGAAAAATCAGATATTTCGTCAAAAGGCAAAGAAAAGAACTTCAAATATGATTACTCTCTAATAAAAACTGAGACGAAATTTTCAAATCCATATTCGAAAAGAGCACAAAATCATTGCTTTTAAATCGTTTGAAATACTTTTTAGAGGGTCAAAAGTAAACAAACATCTTGTCTATAAACTTTCCGATCATCTGTTAACAGTTTCATGCTTATTGAAAAACAAAAAGGAAAAATACTTTGATAAGGCGCAAGTTGTAAGAAATAATGTTAAACGGCCAGTTCGATTCAGTAGGGGGGGGGGATTCCTTATTGACCGACTTAGAGTTTTTTTCAATAATCTTACTGTAAAAATGTTTTTGTTTCTCAAATGAAACAAATTTTGATGATGTTGAAGATTATTTCTATGAGGAAACATGTATAAGAATATTTGATTACTTTTCAATGATATCAAATTGTGTTATCGAAAACAAAATTCAACAATTATTTAGAATTGTAATTTTGTGATAGATAGTTCGTATTGTACATATTTATGGCGCATCCGGCACATAGACATGAAAGATAATAAAATGAATATTGTATATGAAGCAGATTCAAAATACAATTAGTTAATAACATCTATTTGTGATAATCATTTAATAAGTGCACAAAATTTATGAGACAGTCGCGTATGTCAAGAACGGAAACTGTTCAATTACAGATGCTAAAATTTTGCTTGCACCGTCGATCAGTTTTCAGTCTGTAGTATTTGAAGAAAAAAACGCTTGAGCAATATTCTATCTGTTTTGTTTTTTTGAAACAAAATCAATCGGAAAAGTGATTTTATATTGTAGTTGTATACTACTTATAATACATGTCCTACATAGTAAACTTCGTTTAAATGTGAGCTTACGAGTGAACATTAATGTTCTGTATGAGTTCCGCTTTTCACAACCAGATAACTGTACCCGGTAACTAATTGGAGTTAGTTGACATCCGATAGATACTGTTCCAATCATAATATGGTTTTCAAACTTTTATTTTATACGAAAAACTATATACTATTTAGTTTCTTTCATAAACGACAGTAAAAAAAAACGAAAATCAATTTGAATTCCATAAAGAAGCAGATGATTTAGGAATCACTGAGTGTTTTTCTACTTCTAAAATTCAATCAATGTGATTATTTAAAGCCTTGCTTGCTGCTGGTAACGATAGAAAGGAACTTAGTGTTAAGCTTACATGGAATGGCTGTTATATAGAATTTGTAGACTTATGAAGTTTTCAGTTCATCGATAGAAGTCAAAAGAAAGAAAAATTATAGAAATGAATAATACAAAGCATAACAGTAATGAAACACGACCCTCATATCTTTACTGTAGTAATTGAGTGACAAATAGAACTAATCAACAGTTTGATTTGATTATTATACCGTGAAAAAAACTGACGGATAACTTATACCACTACACCGGGCAGTCCAGTTATTTAGATCAGCACCGGTTGCAACATTATTAGAAACAATGATATTTTTCTAGAATATAGCTTTTTTTTTTTTAGTAATTAGAAATACGCCATTATTGATTGTATTGATCCATAAAATCAGCAATTATTGAATCTAAAATAGTAAAGAGATGATATTTTGTTTTTAACATTTTTTAAAATGCTATGAAGTCTTGCAGAATTTTCAATTGTTCAAATTCACTATTTTTCTTTTAACTTCAGTCGAAACATAATGCTGAATGAGTAAATTAACTTTTGAAAAATCATTATTATGTAGCAAGTTTGAATGATCAAAAAACTATTTAGTTACGAATCATTTAAAAATATTCTACTAGCATAGTATTAGTAGTTTCTTTAAAAAAAAAACAATGTTTAGTCTGAATACATATGAAATTAATGTTGATTAAGTATTTTCATTCTCAATTTGATCTCTTTAAAGATGAATAATAATACATATTCTTGCCATCATGAGTAAAGAAAATAACTTTGTTTAATTATCTATATTTTGATATTATATATATATAATTTACTTTTTGAAGAAGATTATTTTTGAAATTCTTGTCATATTTAGTAGAAAAGACAATATCAATAAATATTTAATAAAAAAAAAAATAATTTGTTCTAGACGAAAAAGAAAAAACAGACTCTATAAATCTACTGAATTTTCACCGAAATTATCAGTAAGAAACTCTCTCATTTTTTCATATGATAACAAAGTTAATATAGCTGATGGTACTGTTCTTAGTAGATTAGGTACAAGACCACGATAAAATCCTCGTAGACCTTCTTCTTTAGCAATAGTTCGTACAGCATCACGTACATTTTTATATTCACGAAATTGTATTGTTAGAGTTGGAGATATTGATTGTAAATGTCGAGCATGTCCAGCATTTTGAAGACGGCTACGAACAATTTCATGTGGATATGCCAAAGAAGAAGCAATTAATTTCGAAATGCTCGATGCAAACATAAGTTGTCCTATGGATAGATGTTGATCAGAAGATGAATTAATAGCTAATTTTTTCTTAAGATATTCATATAGTGGAAATTGAATACCAACATGAATCTACGAAACAATAAAACAAGAAAATAAACAAGTAGATAACTTTTTATGTTAGGTTTATATAAAAGAGAGCAAAAAAAAATAAAACTCATCAGAATATTAAAATTAATAAAATTTAATTAATTATAGTTATACTTCATTGAATCCAATGACATTAGATATATATGTAAAAGCAGCAAACTTAAATATACCTGTTATGTTAATCAATATTTAGTAGAATTAGATTAAAACTTTAGTTCCAATGAACATAGTCAATTTCATAGAAACTAAAATCTATCAATTTGGCAAAAGCTAAAATAGTTTTAGTACAGCAAAGTAGTTCTAATATATCAATTCACATTCCAGGTTATAACTACCGAGCAAGAACTGCTGATATACCGATCAATATAATGTACACTATATCAGCGGTTCTTTTTTGAAAGTGGTGTATGATGGTATATTATGTCAAAACGAGTTAATATTTTTGAAGTCTGTTAAAACTGACAGAATTGAGTCGAGCATTCTGATATGTTGATGCATCTTAGTCGTCTGTATTAGCCACAGAGTTCTAATCAGTCCTAGTTACGAGATAAATTTTAATTAGTAAAATATATTTTGAAAATGTTTTCTTGGATACTCAAAGTTTTGACAATCACACTTTCGCTAATGGTAAAACTCCAGGAATGTTGTTCTCTGTTCATGCAAATTTGGATAGCAAACATTCTGCAATCGCTTATAGCTCTAACCGATTTTTGTGAATACCATGATAGATCAGCGATATGGCATAGCAATAAAGGTGATTAGAAGTTGTTCAATAATTATTGACGACAGAAAGGAATATAGACAATGTATAGTGTCATCTATTGATATATCAATGTTACACTGTAGAACTTGATAATGCATACACTGTTAGATAAACGAAGTCTTTCTCTACAATCCGGCATGTGTCCGATACTGTAATCAAATCCTTAAGGTTACCTTCATTTCTACTTCACTCTTTTTTTTCATCATTTTTAAGTATATCAAAATATCGATTTTAATGCATAATTATTACATACCAAACCCATCATAGATGGTATAAGACCTCGATATAAAGCATAAAGTCCTTCAGTTTGATAAATTTTTTGAGCGGCATGAAAAGAATTTCGGTAATCTTCATGATTAAATTGTGTCATCATACGTGTACGAATTGTCCACATTGGTGCAACGGCTGTATTGGATACTGCACCAGCAATAACTGATGCAAATAAATTTATTAACACGTCATGTTCATATGGTATAAATGTTAAATAAGAAGCAAATTGTTTTTTCGACCATTGATATATAGTAAAGTATACTGCCCAATTAGGTACATAACCCTAGAAACTTGCTCAATATGATATTATTTATATAAAAAAAATCTATCGATCTTACCAACATTGTTGCTCCTAATCCTTTATAAAATGCACGCAAACCTTCTTGTTGACCTAATCTATACACGAAAACTAGTAATGGTGTATTACGTACACCTTTTGGTAAACGGTTTACTTGAATACGTGTTTTGACAACATCAAGTGGACTTACAAGAATGCTAGCCAATGCACCTGATGTAGCACCAGCTATGGAATTTACTTGTGAATCAGTTAATAATAAATATGGTCTTATCTGTTGATCGTGGTCGACCATTATTTATTTATTCTAAAAAAAGAACTTTTATTTTTGAAATATATATATATATTTAATCATAATCTTGATTAAAAATTTTGTGTCAACATTTAATAAAATAAACAAAAAAAGAAAGAAAGAAAACCAACAATGATGTGAGAAAATAAAACTATATGTTTCTGTTTATGTTTTAATTGTCCGAAAGAATTTCTCGACGAATGGATTTAACATATTGCGATGGACACCAATAAATCCATATGATGGAATTTTCTCTTTAGAAAACAATAAGATAGTTAAAATTCAGATATTTATAATCGAAAACACTTACGTTGTACCCGTTTGAAAACCAACTATTGAATAACCTTCATTGCCTTCGATTGTCTCATCAACAATATTACGAATATGTGTCATGGGTATTTTTTTTGTTGTTTCCGCTTAAAACAAAATACATGAAATCCATGAAGACAATTGTTTTTTTTATCCTAATTTTACCTGTATTAATCCATAATTCATCCGCTTCAAGTTTAAATGTTAATCGTGCTTTTTTAGCTGTTTGATTTAACATTGACATGTATAAACCATCAATCGATGGTGGTAATGGATCGTTTTTATTTTTAATACCAATTTGTGCATTCTCTGGTTTACCTAAACAGAATGGAAAAAAAAATCTTCACGAATAATTTTTGCAAATAAATAGAGATTAATTCTAAATTGAAATTAACAAAGGTTAAAAAAAACAAAAGAAAAGGAGCAGCACTACTTGGTGTAATGGTAAATTAGCTAAGAAAAGCAAGCTGGACTACAGAAAGAAAAATATTACATTGTCATAGTGAATAAGCTTTGTAGTTTTGATATAAATTGAAAAATTGATCTAAAAGTAACCTTCATATATTACCTTGCCATGAGACATTTTCTAATTCTATTCCATAGAAATGTCAACAATATGGAAGGTCAAAGTTTTGTCTCGACTTGCATTCATCCTTCTAAAAAGTCCTAATTCTATGTTCGCTTAAAATCTTTATTAGCACTAACTAAAACAAGATTTCAGCAATTTCAGAAGGAAACATTTTCAAGTGTGACTTGCGCATTGAACTGATATATTTCCAATAGGTAGATCCCAAAGACACTAGTAAAAGCCTATATAAGGGTTCATCCACATGGGCTGTTCTTTAAATATTGAATATTTAACAAACATACATATGTCATAAGGCAAAGTAACAAAGACTAGTGTTTTCAAGAGTCGATATCACAAGAACAATACATCGTTTTTGCGTTGTAATTTTCAGAATATTTTAAGATCTATGAAGCCTACTTATAGGCAAAATTTCGTAATTTAGTTTTTTTCTCTAGTTTCTTGCTAAAGATACTAAAATTCTAATAACTTCGAGAAGACATCGCATCAGGTTGAATCCTTATAGATTTCTACTCGTCTCGTCGAAACCTACATATAGGCAAAATATTAGTTGAATCGAAGAGTTTAACTTGAAGATTTTTTCTTATCAATGGTTTGAAATTTCTTCTTTTAATCTAATTTTATATGTACACTACATTAATTTGACAGTATTACAATCTAATCTTGCTTTAAATATATAATAAAACATCTTGTTTTGTTTCTTTACTCACCCAATTTGATTACTTTCTCATGTCTCGTTTGTTTACATAAAGGTTCTTTTTTATTTGTTGCCGATGCATTATCTTCCACAGAACTTTTATTTCCTGCTGCACTGTTTTTTAATTCCGAAGCTGAGAATATTTCTGACCGTGTTGCACCAATTAATAATAATGTTTGACCATCAGTTAAATTTAAATCTTTTAATGTTGTTGTTACATCATCTCGTTTAACACTTGTTATGGATTTATTAACTAATTTTTGTACTTCAGGATCAACATTTGTTAATTTATCAAGTTTATCTTTAAGATCTTTTAATGTATCATATAAATCACATTGAACAGAAAATGTTTGTGTTTTATAACGAATATTAAGTGTTATTGGTACATTCGATGTACTTTTTTTTAATGGAGGTTGATCAATTGATTCTGATGAATCACCAGTTTCATTCGTTATTTCATTTTTATGTTTATTTGAAATATCTGGTACTACAGCTGCCATTAGCTCATCACTCATTATTGATTTATATAAAAAAAATAATTATCTAAAAAAAAAACAAAAAAAGTTAATTATTCGAAAACAAGCGATTCTTTTTCTTGTATGTTGCATAATTCATTTAAGTATTCAACTTAGATCTTTCAGCCCTAATTCAATCTGTTAAGATTCACATTTGATCCAAAATCATTTGCTGAAAGGAACAATCTTGGCATAGTTTTACTACTAGTTGGTTTTGTTTTTTTTTCTAAAATAATTTTGACACTAACAGAAATTGATGCTGTTTTTAACAATGTAATTGACTTTTATTAACATACATTGATACTTTAATTGACCGAGTTATCAAAAAAAAAAAAAATTGAAAATGATACCGTTATCAGACCAACGATACACAAGAAGTGCTTTCGGTTTTCGAATTGAATGTATTCCTAGAAAGAACTCTTATATTTCATGGACATAGGTTACTTGAAGTATACCTCATAAAAACTCAATTTAGTTACTATGTTGTCTGAACGTTTAATAACATGTTAATATATACTATAGAAATTATTTCGCCTCTAAGAAGCTTCGTCTAACTGCTACATGTTCTGTGAAAATAAGAGATATACAGATGCTTTCATATATTTTGAGTTTTTTTTTTGTATTTTTCGAATATAAAAATTTAGGAATGTCTAGAAAAAAATATATTTTTGTAACATTAACTAAAGTTAACTGTACTTAATTGACATCATTATTAAGAAAGTACGTTATCAGAAAGTATGCTAAAATATTTTTATCAAATTTATCTTCTGCGTTTCTTTTTTGTTAGAATGAGAAAAATATCAGTTGCACATGCATTGTGATTCATTTTTTAATTACTATAGAGTCTAATGGTAAAATAGATTTAGACGTCGTTTTTTTTTTGTAATACATGCTTAAAATAAAAATATAATGAAAACAAGTCTAAACCTATTTTGATAAAATTATTTTAATATCTTCACTGATTATGTACCCTTGTGATAAGAGTGTCAGTTGAGTACAATAAATTTTGAATAATAACTTAAGATGTTACTTTTTAAAATATATCTTCTATGCTTGTTCAATTTGATATATTCGAAAAATACAAAAAGACAATTAAAATGAGTCTCGAAATTTATTATTAAAAAAGTCTAGAATGGTTCTATTTTCTAGACGTTCGTTCTAGAGATATTGAAAATGTACTGGGTTTTCACCACAAGGTTTCAGTACCTTTCAGGCCATGTTGAAAACCCTTACTAGTACTCTTCAACTAAAAATTATTTGCAACGAAATCTTAGAGATATTTTTAACCGTTTTGAAAAATATCAATATCTCGAATTTTAACCAAAAACATACAGAAAGCAATTACCTCAAAAGTTTCAGGACGATCTGACAAAAAAAAGCGAGGGGGCGGAGGTCGTAAGCAGACGCGATAGTTTTTAAAGGTTCCTTCAGAAACCTCTGAAGACTTACATTAAATATTTTTTCTCGAACATGGATACTATTATTTTTGATAATGTAGCTATGGTAAAAATTTGAGTCCGATAGATTGTATTCTTATTGAGAATCAAAAGTAGTCTAAAATGAGCTGGAGTAATCTTAATGCATAACCTATTTATTAGTATAGTCTCAATAAAATCAACTGATGTTGAGATAAATATACATTTTTCTCCATCTTCATGATAAATATAAAAGTATCTTAACATTAGCACAGAAGACAAATAGATTCTTATATAATTTAATCGATTCTATTCAGTCAGCATGGTTTATTTATTTGCGAAGCGATTAACAACTGTAGGTAATTTTCCATTGTGTCACTGTTAGACTTATTTTTTTTACTCCTTTCTGATTATATAACGTTCAATGCTTATTCAAGTCGAAACGAAAACATAATAATTTCACTAGTTCGAAGAAAAGTCGATCTACAAATAAATCAACAACAGATCCTTACTCTGATAAAGCTATTAGTAATGCAATACACATCTTTTCACACTCAACTTATGACGATTTTGTTGATAATATAAAAATAATCATAAACAAAAAAAAAATTGTATGATCGTATAAGTATTCAAAACATGAAAATGTAAACATATAATGAATACTAAACTAAATTGCAAGTAGATCCATAATATATAGATGACTTGAACAAATAGATAATAAAAACTGACATTATCTCCTACATATGAAGGAACAAAGTAGTCATAGTTTTTTTAATGCTTGTTAAAAAATAATATTGATCTATAAATAATAATTTTCACATCAAGTATATTCATAAAAGTATAAATAATGAGAGTAAAAATCTTATATTTCAACAAATCTCAAGAGATACATCCGTTTAAATGTGATAAAATTCACTGTGCTAATGAGTAAAAACATGGAAGTCTAGAAAAGTTTGATGCGTTTTCTTAAAGTCTTGCTTCACTGTGTAATCAAATTAATTAAAATAAGAAAAGAAAATGGATGTTGTTGTTAACTCTCAATCTCAATAATACTTTGTACAATACTATTTTGATAATTATCATAAAAAAAACGTTTAAATCATTTCGACTTCGATAATAGAAAAGCATCAAAAACTAGTAACCATATGACTCTTAACTACTACAAAACAACTAACTTCCTACTACTTTTTTCGTTCTGTTTTATAACTCAACCAATGATATTTATTTTTAAATGAATGGAGTTTATTCGAACAGATATAATGGCTGATCAAATAACCAATCCGATTTGTATGTTAGTCTTCGTGTGATCATTTCTTATGCATTTTGATTTATGTAGGCGAAAAATCCTTGATATTCATCACGAGAAAAAGAAAATGTTTTCTTTTTTTTTTTTTTTTATTGTATTTTTTTTTCTAGAGCATGAGATGCTTGCTCAAATTTTACATGATCTCTATGTACCACGAGAATTACTTGATGAATTACCAGAAGATCATAAACAAATACTTTTTTGTAAAATGCGTGAAGAACAAGTACGAAGATATCATGAACGAGAAGCAGAAGACAAAATAAGAACAGCTGGTAAAAATAAAACTTTTCATATATATATATATGTAAGAATTATTCGACAAAATAATATTTTAGTAAATGCAACTAAAAAAAAGAAACAAGTTACATTTCGACTTGATGCTAATGGTAATGAATGGTGCTGGATCATGGGCGAATCTTCAGAAAATTCTGATGAACAATCTCATAATAGGTAAATAATTATTTTTATTAAAAATAAAAGTCAAAGGAAAAAGCATTAGCTGCTTTTTTTTTTGAATTTCATTTGTATCAATATCAGTTCGATGTTTGTTCTTTTCGCCTGACAAAATCAACAAAAACATTCAGAAAAATAACTCAGCACTGCAGGCAGGAAAGATGGAGAGTGGTTAAGTGCCAGAAAAAAAAGAACACTACGTGTATGAATATCAAATACAGGAGAAAGACCGTTACGTCCTTTGAAAATATCTCGAACGCATAGATAAAAATTTCTTAACTTTAATATTTCACTGATTGCCGAAATTTTATTTTTCTAGAACCAATAATGAAAATATGGAAGTTGACTATCAAAATGATGATAAACAATTAAAGTACATTTAACTACAACTATTATTATTATTAATTTTTTTAAATAATTTCTTTAGAATCAATAACAGTAAAAATGATAATTTTCCAGTTACAAATGGTGTTTTCTATACAGTACATCGTGATGAGTAAGTACTACAAAACGAATTTCTTTTTTTTTTTGCTTAATTCTTTTTAAAAATCAATCAATATAAAAGAAAAATGGAAAATCATACATTTGTACGATTCTATCTTCTATAAAAAAAAATTGAACATACTTTTAGTGATATACAAAAAAAAAACATGGTATTGTATTTTATATGTAAGTGTAGAATATTGTGAACAAATTTTTGTCGCAGTAAGACATAAGCTTCATAGAGCTGAATGTTATTGTGGGAAAGCCTTAAAATGATATATGCAACAAAAAAAAAAAAAAGAATAAATATATCATGCTTTGTTGAATAAATAAACTTTAATCAAACAAATTCTTATCTTCTAGACGTAAACAAATTGAAGAAATTTCAAATAATATTCAAGAAGCACGTCGTATCTTTGAACGACTTGAATCAGAAACTCGACGACTTGCATTAGTATATATAAAAAATTTCAATTTCATATTTATTTTTATTATTTATATTTATAGAGTAAAGAAAATGAAATTTTTCAAAAACAACAACGTTCTCAAACGAATCCAATAGTTATAACACAATCGGATTTTGTTGATGAAATATTTTATCATGAAATTGAAAAACGTGCAAAAAAAGCTGAACAAGAAAGACGTGAAGTAGCTCGACGTGCACGTGATTTATTTCATCAACAATCATCACAAATCAATGTTTGCTTTGATACAGATAATCAAACAATATTTACTCTACAATCAATACCATTAAATTCATCGAATCGTACAACATTAATGGAGAAAAATATTGCAATTGAACTTGAAGAAAAAGAAATTCCTGCTTTTCCAATATTTCCTTTAGATAATTCACAAAATTCAGAAAATGATCAAGAGCCAAAATCAACAATTGTAACTGTCGGACAGCAACAATCGTAAGAAAATTATTTTTATATTAAATCGATATCCGTAATATATATATATATACAGTCTTTATGAATGATGTCGAGTGTGGCCAAGGTCTTTTATTTATGATAACGGTCAAGGTCAAATTTTGAATTATAATTCAAAAAAAAAAAAGATGAATTTAATATGTAAATGAGACGTATAGTGTAAGAAAAGTATCTATAACATAAAATAGATTTTATCATCTATAAATATTTACAATAAGAAATTGAAACTCTTGCTCAATTTTAATATGTCATGAAAGTGTAAAGTATAGACATAAATGTGTTTAAGTCATATATTGAATCTGAAACATTATAAGTATATGTTAATACTCTTCAATAGCTCATAAAATACTTGATGTCTCATAGAATAAGTCACAATTGTTTACATTCGACAACGAATAGAGATATACACTTTCAGTTTATTAATTGTCAACTCAATGTTGTGAGTGTACACATTGATGCATTGGAATATATTACTAGACAAAGGACATATTTTGATAGAGTTACATCAAACGTGAATGTCATTATAGTGAGTTCCTGAGTGGATCTTGTGTCTACGACACATTGTTCAGTATTTACACGAATGCAGCACATACATTTTTAACAATAGAATTCAATAAATCTTCTCATAGAAAGTTTCGAATCACAAAAGTTTGGCTTCATAAGATTCAAATATCTTCATAATTTAAGAAATAATTATCAACACTTTCTCGTTTTTTTTTTGATTTAGTAAATCAATATCATCAATAACACGTTCAGATATTCATCAATGGTTTCATACAAATGAAATACCTTATGGTACATTTCGTTCGTCAAATGGTCAAATTTATCCATGGTTTCATGGTATTTTCTTTTCTTCACATTATTGAATTCAATGTTCTTTTTTTTTCTTAGGCATTATTTCAAGAGCTTATGCTGAACAACTTCTTTCTTCAAAACCCGTTGGAAGTTATTTAATACGTGTCAGTGAAAAAATGTTTGGTTATGTCTTATCATATCTTGCATCGGATCATTGTCGTCATTTACTTATTGAAGTTACTCAACATGAACATGCTTATCGATTTTTAGGTGGTGCTAAAAATGAATTATTTGAAAATCTTAATCAACTCATTGAAAAATATGCTGTATAAAAAATAAAATATAAAGAAAAATTCATTATATATATATTTTGTTTTTTGTATGTCTTATTTTAGAATACTCCTATTCGTTCAAATTCTACAGATGTTCTTCGTTATCCATGCGATCAAAACGATCCTGAACGAGCAGATTATGCAGATTTATTTGTTGAAAATATTGAAAATGATAATTTATATGAATATTTGTATATAACACTTAATACAACGACATCATCACCACAGTCGACAACACATTTGTAGTCAAATATTATTTTCATAGTGATCTATTTTTCTTTCTTCTTTTTCTTTTCTATTGATAATTAAAAATACTGATGAAATATTTTTTTTTTCAATTTGTTAATCGAGTTTCTCATAAATCTTGTCTTCTGTTGTACAAATATCAAACATTCCACCGATTTTTTTGTCCTTATTGTTATTGTTATCATTAAAAATTAGGTGCAATTTTCATACTTTTATTTCGATTCATTCCATGTTAATATGCGATACAAAAAAAAAACAAAAAGAGAACGATATTATTTGTTGTTTTCTTTTGATTCTTTACTCATTTTGTAGAACAGTAGAATTTTCTTTTTCTTTTTTTTTTTTTTTCTTTATTTGATAATTACTTTTGTTAGATACGGTTCTATTAATATTTTAAGAATATAATAAAAAAACATTACTATAAAATTCTTCATTGTCTTTCAAAAATTTTGAAGATTCTAAAAGATGAGTTTTGATTGATAAAACTAGCTACAATATTGATATGATGGTATAATCAGAATTTTAATTGATCAAGTCAATGTTTAGTTGGGCTTTGTCACAATTTCAGTTCACTAATAATCTAACATATCGTATACTGTGCGAATCTTTTGCCGAAATTTAGCATGTGAAAAGGTGAAAGGGTACATAGGGGCAAAATGGCCTTGGTACGAGCTCATATCTATAGATGAATATTTATTCGTGATAACGCCTGATGGCAAAGTTTTCAGAGAAGATAACTGTTGAATTACCATGCACTAGAAAATATTCCCGACAAATTAAATACTATAATTTGGTGCTTTTTTCCAATACAAGCTTAAAAATTCGTTTGGATAGAACTTATGCATCGACGTTTCCGATAAAGATATTTATTTATTTTGACTGGTTTAAAAGCATTTCAGACGAGTCAAAAACTATAGATAATCACTAAAATTTGAATATGGGCTTGGAAATATTGCGTTTATTTTTGTTCCAGAGTTGCAATAGACTTTTTGAAAGATTTCAACTTTCTGTTAAAAATTATTTCATTACTCTCGAATAATAACTAAAACAAAATTTCTTAATTCATATTCGAAAAGAATACAAAGTTCTGATTCTAAATCATAACTTTTGACTCATCGCAAATAATTCGTTTTCGATATTTCAATCAACGAAACTAAATTTTTTATCTTTTATAAGATTTCAAAAAAAAATTGTCTTTGATTAAAATAACAGATTTATTCAAAGAAATAAATCTACATATTCAATGTATTTTTTAAGATCTTATAAAAAGATTTTCAACTATTGTTATCAATATTATCTCTTAATAATCTTTAATTATATATTAAGACATCATGAGTATGTTTACATAGTTTGTTAAAATTAAATTTTTACACTTCTAGAACAAGATCAATAAAGTTTATTATATATTAAACGTTTGACAAAAAAACACAAACAAAACTGAATAGACAAGTTTATTTTTTTCTTCCACCACGTTCTTTTAATTGTAAATATACAACTGAACCTTTCATCATATTATAAAATCCAAGTGAATTTGAATCTTTAACAAACATATCATTATAAACAAGTTTTTGTTTTCCAGCAGGCATACCACCAAGTAAATCGGATAATTTAGCTTTAATAACAGAAATCTTGAATAAAATTAAAACAAAAATGAAAATCATTCATACCGAAAAAAAAAACTAAAATAAAATAACTTACAGGATCAGTTATTGGTAATGTTAATGGTATAGCTTGACCATTAAGATTCCATTCTGGTTTTTCTGGTACAATTGGTAATTGAACTGTAATAGTAACTTGACCCTAAACACAAAACAACAATCTATTTTTTTTTCTAAATAAAACAAATTATTCTTACGCGTCCAAATGTTTTATAAAATTCTTCTTCAGGTATAAGTTGATCTTCAGTTTTCGATCTTTTTGCAGCTGGTTCTTCTGGTAATGGTGGTGGATGTAATGGTGGTTGTGGTGCGACAGCTACCATTGGTGGCATAGCAACCATTGTATGAGTTGCTTGAGGAAGAATAGTAACTGGTTGAATACCAGGACGTGGCATAATTGGTGTAGCAACAAGTGTTCGTTGAGGTGGTGCAGCCATAGGAACAATAGGTTTTGATACTAATGTTGAAAGTTGTGGTGGTTTTTGAATTGTTTTAGCTGTTGATGAATATGTTGTTGTCGTAGTTGGTTTTGGTATTGATGGACCAATACGATTAGCTGCTGAAGCATCATCATCAATTAAACCTTGACTACGATGAATAGCATTTATTTGATCTTCTATTGTTATATTAGCCAATGCTTTTTTCGATGTTTTTTCAGCTATAGAAAAAAAAAAAAAATTGTTAATGCAATTTCTACAAGATTAAAATTTGAAATATGATGTCACTGCTATTACTAATCAAAGAGAAATTGTTTTTATTCAATGTATTTTGAAACACATTTCTTTCATTTAATCCGTCAGATGTGTAATAAAATAATTCATTCTTTTTTTTTTTTTACAGCGAGATGTGCAGACAAAGAAATGTTGCGAAAGTGTGTCATGATCTCTTGGGACGGGTCGAAAGTTTTACCTGTTGCTGTATGACCATCCCATTGAACTTTATCATCAGGACGTCGTTCTTCTTCACCAATCTAGAATAATAAAATTGATTTATATTGAAAAACATAATAATAAAATTTAGATTTCATATACTTTTCGACCAATAATTGTTTCTTGTGAACCCATACCAAAAATATCTGTACGACGTTCTGCAAACTTTTTTAATTCAAGTTCAACATGAGAACCTATATTAAAAATTTTCAATAATTAAAATAACAAAAAAAACCAATGAATATACCTGGTTCATACACTTGTTCTTTTTCTTGTTGTTCAGCAACTTCTTTTTCTCGTCGTTGAATCCATGCTGGATCAAGTAAAGCTTAAAAACGAGAAAAAAAAAACAAGACATTCAACTATGAATAAATCTATTAAAATTACCAAATTTCGTATGCGATGATATACTATTAACTGGAATTTTTTCCTTTGTAATTGGTGATATTAAATATTGTTCACCTTGATTTATTGTTAACATTTTTTCTATGAAGACAAATATATTAATAAAAGAATATATCATAATAGTGAATCTACCTTTTGGATTATATGCTTTAATAATAACATCTTGTGGTTTTAATGGTGTTGGTAATTTATCTGTAGGTATAGCTGGTGGTAAAGCAGTTGTTGGTAAACTAGGAGGTAATGGTGGTGGTAATGGAGGTTGACTAGTTGGAATACGAGATATCATAACAGGTGGAGGTGGAGCACCACGAGGCATTAATGGTGGTTGAGGTATTTGTGGAGGTGGTGGTACATTCATATCTTCATCATCTTGTTCCATATCCATTTCTTGCATATTAACAGTTGAAGTCATAGCTGATGGTGGTGAATGAGGTGGTGATCCCATATCCATTTCTGCCGAAAGATCAGACATATTAATCATTGTTGTTGATGTTATATGTTGAAAATTCTAAAACAAGATAAATTACAAAATTCATATAAATATTTTTATATAAATAAAAATTTACATTTCGATCGAAACGTTCTTGAAGAAGCATTCGTGCACCAACCATTTCTGGTGTTGTTGGAGGCTAAAAAAAAAAGAAATAAAGAATATTCATTTTATTCTCATAATCGAAAAAACTATGAACTGATCTCACGTCTGACAACTAATAGTACGTAGTCGTACTCTATTAAACTTTTTCTTAGGCTAAAAAGTCATGATCTTCTATTTCGGATTAGTCTTTTTGTTAACAATCTTGAATAGGATATATGAATTTATTGGTTAATTCTAATTTTTTTCCTTTAAATATTCATCTAAAATTTCTTACCGGAAAATTGCCTTGTTCTTGTGGTTGATAATCAACAGTTTCCACAACAACAAAATCATGCCAATCGATTTGTGAATAAGCAGCTATTAAATGAAATTAAAAAAAAAAGTGTTAGTTTTGAAATAATTAAATTTTATCATTCTAACCTCGTTCTTTTTCAACAGCTTCTTCTTCTTTTGCACGTTCACGTAATTGATGTTTAACCCATTCAACACGATAATTAACTTCATCCATAATTTTTTGTTGATTTTCAATATCATTAGATAATTTTGTTAAAAGTTCTTTTGATGGTATTAAAATTCTTGTATACTGTTCAACAAGTTTTGTAAAATAATTAAATAAACCATGTGCAGGTTTAAGAAAATCAAATTGAGGATTACGAGCTTCTTTTGACATTAATGATGTTAAAAATTGACGACCATTACGAGCAACAAATTGAGCTGTTAACTTAACAATATCACTAGAAACAAAAACAAAAACACCAATAAATTAAATATCTATATTAAAAAAATAAAAATAAAGAAAACTTTACAGATCATAAGCTGATATTGATGGTGGTTCAATCATAAATTCATATTCGCTTGGTGGATCTTTAATTATAATTGGTTCAAGAAATTTTGATATCTCACTTTGAACTTTTGTTTGAACCTAAAATGATAGAATTAAATTTTAAATATTGTATTTAATGAAAATTTTTTTACTTTATTAGAAGTAGTTTGCATGGATGGTGTAGGTGCAACTATTTGTTGTTCAGTTGTACTTGGCATAGCTGCTTTACCTTCCATAAATTCTTTAACTTTATGTAAATAATATGCATGATAAGGATCATGTGGATTTAAAAAATTAAATTTTGCATTATTTGCTTCAGCTTCTTTAACTTTACTCTCAAAACTTGGTCCATTTCGTGCAACAAAACTAGCTGTTTTATCAACAATATCTAAATTAAAAAAATTATAAATAAATTATACTGAATACGAAGGTAAAGAAAAAAAAAGAAGCTTACTTCGCACTTCTGGTGGTGGATAAATAATACCAATTTTAGCTCTGACTGATGGTGGAACAAATGCAGCCGGAACAGGTGTAATAGGTGTTGGTTGATTACTGGTATTATCACCAGTATTTGTTGGTAATTCAACAGGCGGCATAATAAATTTTTTCAAAATGATTATTCAAGAGATTTCAGTAAGACTGCAATTGTGAACAATGACGAAAGAATAAACTAACGGATGTTGTTCTTGTCGGTTATTGGATAAAAACCAATCGACATAGAAGGTAAATAGATGTCACTGATAATCAATCTGCAAAGAATTGCTTAAGAAGACCATCCTTTCGAAAGTTTTTGAACAACGACTCATCAGAAATATGTGAAACTTTCAAGGTTGATAGATCTCGATAATTAGAGCACTATTGTAGTGTCCTACAAGCATACGACTTTTCGCAACCGGATTCAAATCGGGACTTTTCTCAATAAACGAGTTCGAATCGGAACTAATTGATATCAAGTAGATACTTTCACAGTCACTGTGCTATTGTCAAACATTTACTTTATATAAAAATTTATTTTATTTATTTTCTTCCACAAAAACCAACAAAAAAACAAGGTAACTATTTTGATTTCCATTTTCTGTGATCTATTGTCAAGTACAATAAATTGCCCAATTGTAACCGAATCGGTTTTCACTACTTTGTTTTTATAAAAATTAGCAGTTTGAAAAAGTACAAATATTGTGAAACATAGACATTTCAGTAATTGTTGGGTCGAGTGTAAGTATGGAATGATACACGAGATCAGAACTGACCCTATTATTTTACACTCGGACCTATGCTCAAGATCGAGTCAGGCACCGATACTCACCGAGTTGCAGGACGCTACACTGTTTGTGGTGTCTACACTTTGATTACTTTTTCTTTTCATCCACTCGAATAGAGAGATGAAAATGTTGAGCACACGCTTAAAAATATATAGTTTTTAGACTAGAGTTTTTCTGCACAATCTACCCAGAATCAACGGTGCTACACTTTCAAAACTAAAGAGAGGTAGGTATTCCAAACAGTGTTCAGTACCTGTGAGAATATTCTCAGTTCAATTGAATGGGGAACACGATGGAGAAAACTATCAACTTGAAAAAAGTGTCGCAGATAACAGAGTCACCATATCGAAAATAATGATTTCATCCCAATATACCGACACCAGATACGTCGAGGAATTGGCTACGATTCTGCAAGAAAAACTCCGAAAAATGCAGGAAGATCAATGAACGACAGAGAGATTCGTCTGAAAACAACTCGGAACCATACGCATGCAGCCTAATCACACGACAGAGAAACTATCAATGCAAGCACCATCTTCTGCCACAATGGCGATCACCTACGAACAAGGTGTAAATCATTTCACTATTGTCATCAAAACGCCAGAAAAGCAGAGCCAATTTCACGATTCACTATAAACCTTCCAAATGTGTCGGTATTATATCCCATAGATGGAACCAGTCTAGCTTTTTGATGACTAGTACTCGCGCCAGTACTGGACCACCGTCACCGATTCCAACCATAGTACAGAGCGTACAACATAAAAAATTATAGAATTGTTTATTCTAAACGTATGCAAAATTTTTTTGTATAAGTTATTTCTGTCGAATTCTAATGAAATTTCATTATGTATTCAGTGTGTGGTATGACTTAGGGCCACTAAGAACCTTGCATGAGTCCCGATGAGAAAAAAACGAGAGTAGAAAAGTTTGATCGGTGAATATCTGTAGGTCGGCAGTAAATCGGTAGATCGGTCGGTCTGAAGTTCGTACCGGTACTGGATCAGATCGACCAGCTACCGGTACCGGTTCTATCTATGAAATAGGTTATCAATTTAAAGAAATAGATTTATGAAATCTGTAATTAACACGAAGCTTCGATCGACGATACTATCGATTAATAAATTTCATATAGGGATCAAGCCAATGGAGACTATGAACTCTTCTAGAACATATATGTCATGTGTTTGTCTATCGAAAGAAAGCATGCACAATGAACACATCTTGAATTTTGCATATAAAAAAAGAACAAGTTTTTATTCAAAAATCAGGATAGTTTAAATAACGTAGACTGATGGTCCATAAGTTAAATTCTAATAAAAATATAATATTTGTGTTGAGCTCAATAACTTCTATCAAGTGAGATATACAAGTTTTAAAGTTTTGAGCCAAATGAGACTCTTCAAAGAGTGTTCTTATAGATGTGCAAGTACCCTTGATTTCTATTTTATCACACGATAAATAGTGAAAATAACAATCCTTTTTTTTTCTCTCAATTATCTTTTAACATCTTGAAACATTCTTTATTTATTGAACATAGGCAAAAAAGTAACTGTTAGAAAGAAATAATGTAAATAGACATAGCTCTAAGCTGAAAATTAAATAATTCAATTAGTCGAATTACTAACGAGAGAAGTTCTGCAGATGTCAACTGATTTTTTTTTTAATCGAGAAGACGTTCATTTAATTTGTAATAGAAAAGTCTAGAATGATTTAGCTTTCCGGGCATTCATTCTCAATACATCGAAATGTTATTAGATTTTCCAGCAAAAAACTGAAGTTCTCCAACTTTACACGACTAAATTTCTTAATACAATTAGTTGATTGTGCAAGGTATGACTGATATCTTGAAACATTCAATATTCAAATTTTTCACATGTGTAAAAGTAACTTTATATCTCCTGTAGGGGAAATATTAGATTGCCTAATCTCGTTGAGAACTTTGTTCATCTAAATTTTTAAATCGAAACTCTCACGTACTCTAATAAAAACGAAAAACCAAATAATTCTAGAAGTTTCTATTACTCATCTAATAGACATCGTCTCAATCAAATAGTGATTTAACATGTGGAAAAGTTCCCTTGTAAGTCTAAATTTAACCTCAAAAAACTTAAATTATTTGTATCACATACATATATAATCGTATTAGTAAAAAATAAAACATTAGAAATATAAAATGTCAATAGAAATTATATTAAATTTTAGCATAATAAGGTATTTCTCTGTCTTTTAATAATATTTTCTTGTATTAAAAGTTCTTGTGTTTTTTTTTTGTTCTAAATAGATTACCTATTGTTTTTCTCATTACGAATTTTATCTTAATAATTTTTTCTTTGCATGCAAACATAAAAAGAAAAACTCATTATTAATAGACATAGGTAAATGAGCTTGTGGACGAACAACCTTAGTAGCAAAAACAGTTAATTGTACTATTATTGATGAAAAACCGCACGCTAGTATGTAAAATTACAACAATGATCATTGTTTTTATATGCATGTAAAATAGAAAGAAGAAATTATGACAAAAAAAAAAGAATAAAGCAACATTGTTGGTCTCCGGAAATTAAATAGAAATAACGCATATACCGAGAAAAAAAAAAGAGAAAAATACTTCTCGACAAAAAACAAACAGAATAACTCGACTTTCAACTGTTGATTTAACAAGTAATGGTAGAACGAGTAATGTTAATTAATGAAATTTCTTCTATGTATTCATCATTAAAATTCTTATTTATTTTTATACTTACATTTAAATTCGTAACAAATACTAATATTCGAGCGTCTACTAATAAAACAACTAATCATTCATGTTATACATGTATAGAACCATTAGTTGGATACAGTATGTCTTTTATTTTTTTTTCTTTCAATATAATTTATATTTTATTATTATAGCTGATCATACTGGTTCATGTAGATTTTTTAATACAGCATCACCAGTGGCTTCAAATTATATAAGTGAATGTACTAGTGAAAATGGTTATACTGGTGAATATGAATGTCGAAAATTAGTTATTAGTTTTCGTTCAGTTGAAACATTTTTACGTCGTGATTGTGTACCAAAAGGTTTATGTTCATGGAAAGATAAAACAAAATCAATGATAGATACACCTGCATCTGATTGTGTTTATACTGATAGTGAAGAAGAAAAACTTGAATGTATTTATTGTTGTGATACACCATTATGTAATCGAACTACATCATATTATATAACAATTCAATTTATATTTTGGTTATTATTTATTCATTGGTGGAGAAGATGCAATTATTAATGACATGAATGTTATAGATAATCATTTGATTGGAATTTGATAGAACTAGAAATATGAAATGTATGAAGAATAGCAAAAGTGTGTTGATAGACAAGAATGCGATTTTCCCAATCACAACGAGAAAAAAAAACATATTGTAATTAAATACGCCTTTTTTTTATTATTATTAATGTATAAATGAAAAGTAAATGGTTATTAGTATAGAATAACTTATTTATTCAAGAAACTATCGATGGATTTTCAATGTATTTAGAAGAAGTTTACAACAATTATCTTATACTTATAGATAATCCTCATCCTGATCAATATTATTCGTTATTTCTAGTGTTTATATTGCACTTTTTATATTGATAGTTTCAACATCGTGTAGTAATACTATCTTATATGAATAATTGTAATTAGCACTATCGTGTAATCGATAGACAAGTAACGAGAATTTTAACAATGGGAAGGAGTCAATATGACTTATCTATATGGTTGAACTTTGTTTGGTAGAAAGACTTGTAGTAGGACTTAGCTGATGAGAAGGAGGACGGCTCAGCTCCTAGCTTCCCATTGGTTACTCCACTAAGTAATTCAAAGTCAAATCTGAAAATCATTGCTTTTGTTTAAATGATTTCCTCGTATTCTAAATTGATGCTGAACAATTATTCAATGATTTGAGTGACAGCTGTTGAGTAAAAATTGCAGAGTAATAAGTATTGTCATGTACGAAGGATAAATGAACGATAAAATAGTATAATGTGATTATTCGTTTCAATTTGATACCTGTCAAACTCTTTTTTTTTTATCTTGATTAATATTTAATGTTAATATTACTTATATTGTCTATGGCGCAGTTCCATTTATCTAGTTGACCTCTTTGTTGAGTACCCATGTCTATAGACTAATATTCTTAAAGTATAAAATATTCATTAACTGGTTTCATAGAGTCACTATTTCGTAATTTACGATTTTCTATCATCATATGGGACACTTGTTTTTGATCAAAGACGTCTTTAGAGATCTGATCAGCTAAATAATAAAAAAAAAACTTTCAAATTATGTAAAACATTGTCAATTATTATGAACGAAACTAAATTAAATAAAAATATTTAAAAAAACAAAACCATTTTTTGGTTTTTACAATATTAATTTGTTACTGCAATGCCAACGAGATAAAATACTGTAATTTATCAACATATTTGGCTTTATCAATTCCTATCTACTGTTAATCGTAATGTATTACAATGATCGTTAAAGAGGAGCCAACGACAGCTGTGTTATGCGCTCATATTAATATATTTGTCACATTATATGATGGAGAAGAAGCATTATGCAAATGTCTTGCATGGTCTTGAGATGTTCTTGCTACCGTGTCTATTATGTCGGTAAGGGGGGATAGCGAACAGTCAAGCAACAAAATTATTGCATTTGAGTTGCAATTTTCTCACTAGCATTGTGTACAATTAAGTGAAACACTAATAGACCACAAAATGTTATACAAAGCAACAATTTACTTTCAGTCGAAAAAGTTTGCTCAAAAATTTGATAGATTTTTTTTTCTTATTTGGCTTCTATTGTTTATCCAAAAGGTAAAGAGTGTATCAAATTTTTGTCTCCATATTTTCGTACTCCTTTTGCAATGTGTATCCAAAAAAAGATCAATCATCTGCTACGAGCACTTTTAGCAAACAAAAAAAGCATAAATTAATTTACAATTTATTCAACATCTCGACAACAATGTAAAATGAGTAATACACATACATATATAGAGTCACTATTATCTGCACATTATGTTATAGACTCAAATGATGCTATTTACACTAACATGCAAGAACAAATATAGAATGATTAAGAAATTAACTTCTTTATGTAATATTTGTAGTAGTTTTCTTTTCAAAAAAGAAAATATAAATAGAAGTCTTTTCATCTGGTTCAAAGTAGAAAGTCATACATTCAACGGTATCCTGAAAAATGCTTAGAACGAGAAAAAAAAAGAAATTTAGTTGAATAAGTAGATCTTGCTTGCCAACAAATTTTGATTATTTATTTGTCTGAAATAATTCGACATGAACAAGCGTGCAACAAATCTAAAATCTTGAGATTTGATGTAGAAAGATTTCTGTTTAATTTAAAGTTGAATTTGGGTTTAGATTAGAATTTGGCGTTCGGATTTGGTTTCATGCGAACAGAACTCTAAAGTTGGAATCATTTAAGTCTAAGCTCTAAATCCAAATCTATCAGAGATTTGTTGCACCCTAGCAAAGAATTTAAGTAGAAATTCCTATACAATACTAAATAAAAATATTATTAGTAGAAAAAAAGAATTAAAATGGAAGATATGAAGCTCATCTGACAGATACTTTTATCGATGTTCAGATTGTATTCTAATAGTTAGTCATAGATGCGTGGGTAACACGACTGTTGCTCCCAGACAGATGCTTCTGCGACAGTTGCTCCCGCGGCAGGGTTATGGATATGAGTGTGGGTGCGACTGTGATTGTGAGTGCAGGTGTGGGTGTGACCGTGGATGGGTGTGAATGCAGGTACAACTGTGGGTGTTGGTGCGAGTGTGACTGCAGGGGGGGGGGGGGGG